CTTCCCGAGTATATTCCCAACTTTACTAAAGAAATCCATGTACTTCATATTCGTATCCTGAAATCAACCTACATAGAATTATCACTCACTGGTTAGAGAAAGAACCAAAGTTATCAACTTGAGAAAGAATTTTGCATAAACGCAATACCCATCAATTCAAATGGGAAAAATGAAGCATCTTATCGACATTAAATCATGTGGAATACAGAAACAAAGCTTGTGAATTTCTCCGTCAAGTCCCGTTGCCTCTACACTACGAATTCAAAATCCGACAAAAGATCAACCACACCTACTTGCTATCAGATGCAACATTATACGGAATCGAACCAGATTCAGAAATGTTGTCTCCAATCATAATCATAAGATCGAACCAAAGCTCACAGAGTCAACTCAATAATCCCGATTTCTGATCGATCCAGATGTAATACAATTGCACACGGCAGGGCAGTGAAACACAAAGAAAACATTTAAAAGACTAGAAGACGAACCCTAGAGATACTGCAGAAACACTACGCATGAACAATAATCGAGAGGAAATCGGAATCCAGAACGAGAAACAACAAGCAAAAAAGGGTTGGAAGACGATCTCAGATTTCGGAATATCAGATTGAAACCAGAAAAAAAAAGGGAAAACTTTAAGAGGAGGGATTTACCGGGTTTTCCCTAGGGTTTATCGGGGCAGACCTGTTCTGCAGAAGCGAGAAACCCAGACCGTACGGAAGACGGTTTATGTAAGAGGTGTTTCGTCTGAAGACGGTCTCATCCGTTGATTTCGCTCTCTGTATGATCTTGGCCGTTGATAGAATAATTTTTATTTTACAAAAAAAAACTTCCACAGAGAAAATATCAAATAAACAAGGAAGCTGCTATCCATATCTCATAGATATTACATATTTAAAATTTTAAAAATTATATAAAAAATTTGGAAATTTTTCCTAAAATTTTCACACATCCCGTATAATTTTCCTAAAATTATATCATGTGTGTTTTTGCAATATTTAAAAGGATTATGAAAATTCATAAATTTTACCCTTTTTATATTTTGCATCCTTTTAATCTACTGGTATAACTATTGTTTATTTTTCCCCTTTTCCATGTGAATATTAATTATTAAATGTCTTTTTTTTTTGTGTGTACAGACAAGAAATCAAGCTCTTGAGAACAATGTTCCAACAGCCAAGGATGCTGACTCAGTTGCAGAGCTCAAAGCAAAATATATACACACATCAGCTCAATGACGTACATATGGAGCCACCAATGAAGCAATCTGACGCAAGAGCCTCGACTCCTCTCCATCTTCTGCCCCCCGTCGTCGTCGGGACGTCGTCCATTCTTGAAAGCTATGGAGACTGCCCGTGAAATCGGTGAATAGCCCGTCAACCCCGATCTCGTTAATCCAGTAACCGTACTCCTTGTACGGATCTTGGCTGAAGTTGAAGTGCAGGTACTGGTTCTCATTCCTGTATGTGTACGGATGCACCTGGGTTTGCATCACAAACGATCGCACCGAGAAAAAGGTTAACGAGTTTATACCCGATACCGTGTAGAAGCCCAAGAGAAGCGTATACGCATACCTGTAGTTTATGAGCGTGAGCTCTTCTGACTAAGTCGGATGGTGTCTGCATATAGTTGTTCTGTACGGGAACGATGGTATCTTTCCACGGTCCAATCCCGACAACATATTCTTTGATGTAGCTGAAATATGCATCGGATGTGATCTCCGAGTACGTCTGCTCTCCGGGAATAGAGTTTTCGAGCAAGAACTCTCGGTAAGTGCTTCGATAATAGCATACAGATTCTGATGAAACAGACAGCATGTTTTTATTGGAACAGAAGAACGAAACAGAGGACAAACCTGGTTAGTGTCTTGGGTCGGCATGGTAATGTCGTCGATTAGGAAAACTTTCGGCGAGTTTGTCAATTTCGATATGTACACAAGTGAGCTCGGGGCGAATGACTGAATAAATACCGGTTTTCTCAACCAACTCTTGGACAAATACGTGCCTTTATATCCGTATTTCTTCAGAGTCTCCACGAATTTATCCTCGAATTTCTTACCGCCGAGCCATTTTATCTGCAGGTATGTAAGTATAGGCAATGTAGTAGTATTAGGTACAGGTATTTTTCTCGGGGCTAAGTTTCGGGAGATGGAATTCATCGAGGAAAGGAAACTCACGCGCTGGTTGATGAAGACTGGATTTTTTATCTCGGGATATATTCCGACAACCCTTGGAGCATCCAGAGCAATGGCGATGAATTCTTCAAAAGTAATGATAGGGAATTTTCCTGAAGTTATAAACAAGAGAACAACCACGGTTAAATATTGTTTTTTAGATCACGGTAGATGTTACAACGAAAACCAGAATAGACTGTCTAACCGTTGTATTGCTGATCCCGGAAAGAATATCTCTGCTTCGTACGAAGTTTCTTCAGCTCTTCGAGTGTAAAATCAACTGAAATACATCAAAACAGGACCAAGTTAGCGAAATACGAGTTCAAAACAAACCCATAAGAACAACTGAGGACAAAGAGAACTCGGGAGGGAATTTGGTTCAGTACCAGTGAAAAATCCCGTAACATTTGACCCTTGAACCTCGTATGTCCTTTTACGATCTGCAAACTCCTTGTGCTCGGAAACATCAGTTGTATCATCGAGGATAACGTCATGGAAACATATAAGAACACCATCTTTGGATGACAGAATATCCGTCTCTATGAAATCTGCCCCCTCTTCAATGGCTCTCTGCAAGCAAATGAACAAATCCTTAGACAAAAGTATTCAGAGCAAGAAGAGACATAAAGCAACACTCCAGCTGATTCTCGCCCTCGTAAACTCGGGTCAGGTAAGCTTGTTTGAATCCGTGTTTCAAAGGCGAAAATGCATGAACTAATCCATTTACCAAAACCATTACTGCGCTTACCAAGTAAGCAGGTGCAGTTTCCTCGGGGATCTCTCCATGGGAGCCTCTATGAGCGATGTTATAGGGACGAGAAGTCTGTAATGGCGGCTTAACGCCATTGAACCCTTTTCCGGGGAGAGGGTATAACGGCCTCCCGTCACATGAAACAAGAAGAGAGAGCCATAGCAAGGGCAGGAGTTCTGTAGGATCAAAGATACGAACTTTCGTCAGTTTGCATTTACATAACAAACGCAAATCGGTATTGTAAAATATACCGATGAAGCTGCAATAACAACAGACGAATCCATGAACCTTTCAGTGAAAAGCCCAAACAGAATTCATATTCAACAGACGCCAATCCAAACATTGGCTTATCCGAAAACGGTCTGATCATAATCTGAGGGTAATAGTCCAAGATACTACTGATGATCTACACCGATTTTCAAACCTCCATTCATGAATCTGGATGAAACGAAGATCAGATCCTAAACCCTACGATCCCAAGAACTTATTTCAGCCGTAAATCCTACGGCATTTCTTCAAAATCACGCCAAGATGAAAAAGGAAGAAACCAAATCCAGGTAATTTCGCAGAAACCCCACACGATGATGCAGAAGAAGTCAATCAAATCGATATGAACATATAACAATCAAAAGGAGGCAAAACCCAGATACAGAAATCACAAAAAGAGAAAATAACCCATGAAAAGTATAAGCATTGAAACCCAGATTAGAGTGGAAATTATGAAACTTTACTCGCAAAACCCATGGATGGACTCTGAATCTCCAATCCGACAAGCTTGAAGTTCCTTCTCCCGGACAATGGGGGGTTTTGCGCATTAATACAAAACGGGAAGAGAAATTTCGGATGCTATTTATGTCAGCGTTGGGATCATTGACCTGATTTGGTTCGTCGATGTCGCGCGAATCTATGGTTCATATGCCGAGGGATATTCCGTGCAGAGGTTGTATCACTGTACACGTTAGAAAGATGAACGGCCTGTAGTATATACATGGAAAATACTATTTAAAAACCCATAAAAAAATTCCAAATCATTTAAATTTAAAATATAAATACATGATTTTTAAAATATTGTTTCTATATTAAAACAATATCTTTTAAATTAATTCAATCAGAATTTTCAAACTAACATCGATGTTATTTAACATTATTGTTTTAAAATCCTTTGTTTCTCATGTTAATATGCATTCCCTTTCAAAGTTGAAACTTATCTAATTATTTATAAATTCAATTAAATTTTAATGTGATTAATGATATGAGCACTCATAATTGGGGGCAACTTCCAAATTATCCTTAATGTGCTAGAAGCACTTCTCCTACTACCCTCTTCATTTTAAAAAAAAATTTCAACTTCCAATCTACCCTCTTCAATAACATATTACCAAAATACCCTTAAGATATAATTTTTTAATTAAAAAAATAAAAAAACAAAATTTTCCCTTTTTATGGAGTTTCTCTCTCCTCCCCTTTTTAATTTTTTAATTAAAAAAATAAAAAATAAAATTTTCTTTTTTTCTAAAATTTCTCTCTCCTCCCATTTTTTGCACGTTCCTCTCTCCTTCCGCCATTATTTTCGATTGAGCTTTCTCTCTCTTCTATATTTTATCTCTCCTAGTTATCTTGATATTTTGTCCTAAAAATTTGCAGAAATTGGATGAAATCAAAGGAAAATCAATGAGAAAACTAAAAATATGTAAGCTAATGTGGAAATCCCGATTTTTTTCCATGCACATTGATGCTTTTGTGGTTTTTTTCTTCTAGTTGTTGTTCTTTCCGCAGTTCCTTCGTTTGTAGTATATTTCGGTCACAACCTATAATTTTGCTCATGGAAGTATTGTTGAACATAGTGGAAAACGAGATGATGTATATTATGAGGAGAGAACAACTAATTTAGAGTGAAAAAATAACCAGAATTTCTATAATAATTGTGTGGTATATTTGTATACTAACGTATTACAAACCATTTGTACAATAATATCCAAAGACCCTAATAATTTTGTAATGTGTTTGTACAATAATGTGTTAAAATTTTTGGATAATATTGTGTCTGTACCATATTAATTAATATTGTACTTTTAACCTTGTATTTTCGCATATATCTGACTCGTGTTGTACACTAAATAAATTGACTCACATGAGCCAACGTTGTGACTCATTGTGACCAGCATGTGACCGTGTGACCGAAGTGCAATTTTACACTGTGTGACCATTGTGACCGACTGTGACCCGTGACCGAAATGTGTTGATAAATATAGACCCAAATTTAATTTTTAAGCTTTGGAGTGATTTATCAGGGTCTATATATCAAATATATAGTGTATGTGAGAAATTTTCAGAATATTTTAAGGGGTTTATAGAAGAAATATCCCAAATTTGTCAAAAACACTCATAAAACACTATGAAATATATAGAAACACATTTGGAAGAACAATTTTGAAACATAAAAATCGCAAAAACCGTATTCTAATGTTCGAAACAATAGAGAATAGACTTATGAGATATGTGTGACGTTGTAGAGTAATTAAATTGACAAAAATCGCATGGATCGAAGGTTGTGACCGGTTGTGACCGACTGTGACCCATTGTGACCGAAATGTGATGTGGGACCCACATGAAGAACTAGTCAGATTTCTCCAGATTTTTATGTTTCGTAGGGTCCACAATCATTATTTCTATTTTTTTCTTTTAACGTGGGGCCCAAGTTGAATATTCAACCCTATATAATTTCTCTTTTAACCCTATATTTTTTTCCTCTCAATTTTTAATTCCAAATTTTTATCTACAACATTTTCAACCCAGAATTTTTTGTAAAACATTAAAAAGTTCAGATTTGTATTAAAAATAATACCACAGATCGCATAGATCATATTTTAATGTTAAAAATAATACAAAAGTAGACATGTGAAAGATGTTAAAGCATCCACAATGATTAAACTGAAAAAATCTCATAGATCGAACCATGTGACTAGTTGTGATCCATTGTGATATATTGTAACCGAAATGTGTTACAGAATCCACACGAAGAATTCGTCAGAAAAGCGACATAGATTTCTATTCGGTGAGTCTCAACCTAGATTTTTCCTACAACAATTTTAACTTAGATTTTTCTCTAAAACATAAATAAGTTCAGTTTTTTAATAAACAAAAACCAAAAATAAAAATTCATAATTTAGGATACTAGTAAAAAAATAAAAAGAGATCATAGTTAGGGTTCAAAATAATATAAAAAAAGCATTTAGAAAAATAAAAGTTCATGCTTTCTTCTTCCGTTAGTGTGATTCTAGATCGCCCAAAGTTGTCATGTCTCCCGATTCTACTCATGCGTTGATCAACTCTATGAACATGGTATCACACACCAAGTAATTGCATCCTATATAGGTCATGGAATGCTTTATAATACGGGTTCGGAGTTTATACATCGCCTCTTCCATGCGCTACAAAACAAAATAACATATGTCAGCAATATTATTCAGATATCACTGTGTGACACTGTGGCCGTGTGACAATGTAACTATGTGACTGTGTGACTATGTGACTGTGACCATGTGACCGTGTGACCATGTGACCATGTGACCGTGTGACCGTGTGACTATGTGACCGTGTGACCATGTGACCATGTGACCGTGTGACCATGTGACTATGTAATCTTACAATATATGTGATCTATATTCCGTGTGACAGAAGCCCTTTCTAGAAACTTGGACTCTGTAATGCATTCAGTCATTAGAAATCCTCCTCACAAATTCCATCGTCACAGTGGAAGGACGTTGAATACTTCTCTTTCAAGAGATTTTGTGCATTGGCGAGAAGGAGGTTCATGTATAGAGGAGGAACTCGAATCACCTTCTTCACCTTTCTTACCTGTTTGCATGGAATCGCCTCCTCCGACATAGATCCGCCGAAAACTCAAGAACTCCAAACCAAGCCCACCACCGAGTTCTTCCCATGGTTTCGAATATATGCAACTGTTACCGCTTAGCTTCTCTCATCTATAACCTCTAGTCTAAAAACTTTCAGAAAACTGAAAGATGACAGCTCCAGAAATTAGGGTTCTATTCTATCCTGTAGACCGTGATTGCTTTTGTCCTCGGGTTTGGAGCGTCGGCTTACGCAATGGAAAATCTTCTCCTTGTCTAAATTAGAGGAAAGAGAGAGCGTTGAGACATGAGTGAGGAGAGAGATAGAGAAAATCGTAAGTTAGAGGAGAGAGAGAGCGTTGAGATGTGAGTGAGGAGAGTGAAGATGTGAGTGAGGAGAGAGATTACTATTTCACCATTTCATCGTTTCTTTTTCTTTTTTTTTTACTTTAGTTTTTTTTTAAATTTAATACAAGGGTTTTTGGTCTTTTCATAAATATTTGAGGGTTTTTGTGTCTTATGCCATGTGAAAAAGTCTTTTTTGTTTAATTTTTTTTTTCAA